AAAACTAAAAAAAGTTTCAGTAAAAATCCTTCCAGCTGCACAGCATCTGATACCAGAGGAAACAATCATCCAAAAAATGTGATTTACATCCAGAAAAAGACGAATTAAAGTTTCCAAAAGCAAAATCTCAGAATGAAAGTAACAGAGCTGCTCCAACATGCAGCCACCTTGAGCGGCGCAATTCTAGAATATATATATGTAGTGAACTAAGCCTCAGGTCAAATCCTGACCTTGAGGGCCTTCCTGGGACAAGAACTGTATTTCATTGATTTGAGTCCAGAAACACAAAATCAAGTCCATCCAGAGACTTTCTGAGTGTGTCCTGCACTGATCAATTGAAAGAACACTCTCTTTTTTATTATCATTACTATTTTACAAATGTCTTGATAATCAAAGTGTGTTTAGTTCAAACCATTTTAAATGTTGAAGTGAACTACTCATTTTAAATCAACTGTGAAACAGTATAAATGATTTTCAATCCTCATTCAAAGTAGAAATCTAGTTAATGTCTGTTACAGAGTAATTATTAATTTTCTTGATCTTCTGTCTGAAATGAACAAGTGTAAGTCGGTCAAAAGTCAAGTTTCGGTCAACTACATGTTTACTGGAAATAAATGTCATGTTTAACTTTTTCAGACAGATAGAAGTAGAACTGACTCCACAAAGTCTCGTTTTCTTCAAAACATCTTCTGTCTGTTCTTAAACAACTTAATCTTTTTCCTTGACTTTTAATGACCTCTTACGTCATAAAAAACACACCCCTGATTAGCTCTTTCAGCCAATCAGGACTTCCCAAATGAACCAGAAACAGAACTCTTTAAATGTCGACACTTCCTAGTTCCAACCAGTGCGGTGGGAGAGCAGTTCAGTTCGGAGGGCAGAACCGAACAGAAAAATTGCTGGAGAGAACAGGAGGTTCCAGACATGATCCGAAGTTCTTCTGAGTCTTGTGGGAATTATGGAATCTTCCACATCTGAGTGTAGCCTCTGACGGACTTACTCCTCATGTGAGTCCACCCGTGAGGTGAACATGTGTCGAACGAAGTACCGTCACTACTTCGGACGATTCACAGCTGTTCCTACGGAGACGCTGGAAAGGTGGCGTTAAATGGAACTCCGTACCAGTGGAGACATCTTCTACAGGTAAAGAGTCGATTTCCACCACCTAAGTGTACCGAGGTGAAGCTGGGATCTAATGGAGAGTGCCGTTCTGATACAGACACATATTCCCTCATCCATCTTCTCTCTCTATTTAAACTCCTTCATTCCCCATCTTTAAAACTCTTCTATCTTGCCAGTAATTAATCCAGATATTTTCAGAAATGTCTGTTGTAGAGCTTGAACCCAGATACCATGGCCGTATGGTCTCTGATTGTAAAGCTAATTAATTAAGCTGTTATTGTAATCAATTTTGCCAAATTAATGTAAATGTTTGATGTTAAACTTTGATTCTGCTAATAAATGACCGCATTCATTTTTGATGGGTCAAAGAAAATTAACGTCTCACGTCACATTTAATCATTCA